TCGGTATTCTCTCGTTTTTGAGATTAATGTTCCTAAAGTCACAGCCACAGATGGAACAAAGTCGTCCACCGAATCTGGACTCAGGGACATGGTGTCCAAGGTGCTGCAGGAGGACATGTCTCTGCCAGTCGATCTGGATTCACTGAACTTCCTGCCAGGTACTGAGATGAAAACATTTCAGACACTTCTCTCTTTGTGTTGGAACTCAGAGCCTCTGCTAGTAAGAAACTATGGAAAACTATGTAAATACTGTAATAATTTAAAAATTACAAAAGTTATAAAACTCAAAAATCACAGATGTGATGTCCTGAACAAGCTGAACAGTTTGATAAGTGAATGGTTAAAACAGCTGAAGTAGTCACAGTTCAACTCCCATACAGCAGCAGAGACTATAACCAGGAAAAATGCTGACTAAGGTTTCTCGCTAACTTCTTTTGGACACAACAGTAATTGTACTGATCTCTAAAATGTATTTTTTCAGCAGAAATGATCATCTTCCCAACATCAATGACTTCTTCTGAAGATCTGTTGGACAAGGTGAAATGTTCGACGACTAATTCAACACAGACTAACGTTGTTCTGAAAGGACACCAAGATTTATTTGTAGACTTGTAGAACAAAAATACAGATTTTTTTGTTTGTTTTGTTTGTTTAAGTAAAAAGTGGATTTGTGGGTCTTGTTTGCAACCTCTGAGTCTTTCTATTTGTCTCTCTACAGTCGAGTGAAGCTGATTCCCATAATGAGTTTGACGTGGTCATTCCTGAGCTGGAGACTGATGACTTGTGGCCAGAAGTTCCACTCGTCACCAAGGAAGAGGAAAACGCTCTTGTGACTCTCCTGGATTCTGCCTCCAATCTGGAAACAACAACAGAGACGACAGTGACGGATGGAACAACAAGACGCAGCGATCATCCTCCACCTTCTGAAGACAATATTGATGAATCAGAAGCAATTTATGTGTTTGAACCCGAGCCTTCGGATCGGGAGCAGGGGGAAGAAAAAATTCTCGTCATTAGCCACGAGATTGAAAACATTCATCACAACAAAACAGATGAACTTGTGCTGAGCTATGCCCCGACCCCTCCTGTGATCCTGCAGGTGGAGACAGATGCTCCATCCATCACTCTGTCTCCTAACCTCATCTCAGAGGAAGATCTGACTCCTGTTCATGACGTGAGACAAACTCCTCATCTTGTTTTTCCATTTACTCCAACAGCTCAGATTTTATTCACTACAAGGAAGGAACCCTCTGATGATGAACTACCAGACCAGATGCCCACTGAAGCATCATCAAACCTTCAAGAAGATCAGGACGTTAATGCTCTCCCTGGTGATGGAAGGGTAGATCTGGACGTCTCAGAAACTGACAAACCAAGTGATGTTTTGGAAATTGAATCTCAGGACCTTACAGAATTTGAAGCTGGAGGTGAAATAATAGAACTGGAGAAAGATTTAGTTGATGAAACTGATGAAGTTGAAGATTCTGATCCTGTGGAAAAGCCTGTAGAATTGTCTGAATCAGAAGTAAAAACTGGGAAAGTTTTAGAACAAGGCAAAGATTTATCAGAAGGGTTGGAACCTGATGAAGAAGCTGATGATGAGGTTTTAAAATTGGACAAAGATGAATCAAATGTTTCAGAGACAGAGAAAGACCAAAAAGAACCTGAAGTTTCAAAACCAGCAGAAAAGTCAGAAGGTCAGGAAGAGGTCACAGCTGAGAAGCCAGAAGAAACTTTTCCTGGTGCAGTAACAGAAAGAGAGAATATTAAACCTGAAATTTCACTGGAATTGTTCCCTGAAGTGTTTGAAGAAACAAAACCTGATGTCTCTGAGGAAACAAAACCTGAAGTCTCTCAGGAAACAAAACCTGAAGTCTCTCAGGAAACAAAACCTGAAGTCTCTCAGGAAACAAAACCTGAAGTCTCTCAGGAAACAAAACCTGAAGTCTCTCAGGAAACAACACCTGATGTCTCTC